CCCTGTTCCTTTGGGGAAGAGAAAATATATAGTTCTGTGATTAAAAATCCTTGCTGCTACCAGAATATAAACTCTGGTGGTACTAGTAGTAGTGGTAGGTATAATAACGACATGACAATAATACACCAGACAGGAGATAAGAAGGAAACTTCTTTTCCATCACAGCCACAATTGCAGAATAGACCTAAGACAACTGAGATATCTGTTCCCATAACTACAAAAGTATGTGTATGTACAGACATGGAAGAAGAAGATGATAGGAGATTTACTTACAGTGCAACCTGTTCAGCCAGAAATATATTGAGTGCAGAAAGGTGCATGCAAGCACATCATTTGCATAACAGTTTATTTAATTAGTTATTATAAAGCCTATTCAGTCTTGTACTCACTGTAGCAGTGCTGCATTTTCTGCAGTTCTTTGTAGTCTTGCCATTTTGAATATGGAATTAATCTCCTATTTAATTGTAGAAAACTGCCCGTTCAACTTCATTGCAATAAGATTAGTGTTCATTTTTAATGAGTCCCCCAAACTTTTTGAATCTGAACAGTGGAAGCCTTTTGAAGAGTTAAACGTCTATCTTCCTGCAATGATGGTTTAAGAATTAAGGATTAAGGGATCAGGGAGGAAGAATCACTCATAGCTTTATTAGTTTCACTCCTTCTGTGACAAGCTTTTAAATAAGTGTCAGGTTAGAGATTAGCAGTCACAACAGCATGTGAAGTCCACTGAGTCATCTGAGATCAAAAACTTAATTCCAGTCTACTGTAAACTGTTGTACACTGCATTTATGTAATACATCCCCAGTTGATCCTTAATTCAAAAAACTTTTAAGCAGAGATATTTTCTGAAAAAAAAAAAAAAAGCTGAAATAATGAAAAAAAATGTATAAACAGAAGTGCCATTTTCCCACTATGCATGGAGACCTTAAAAGGGAAAAATACCTTCTCTTGTCTGACTAAGTCTTGTCCATGTTATGCAACGTACACAAATAAAGGGAAAAACACTTCTTGAGCACTGTGGCATATTTAGGATATGAGCTAATAGAATAAAAATCAGTCTGAAATCTGAAATCAATGGAAAGCCTCCCATTTGTATCAGTGGGCGAGTGACAAGGGCTTTCATGAAAGTGCTGCTTCTATTTTACATGTGCACAACTGTTAGGAAAAGCATCTGTAGCTTAAATACTGCTTTAAACCACTTAACAGGGTCTTGCAAATCAATGGATTCACTCTCCAATACTAATGTACATAAATGAAAGTATTTTTTATCCATGAAGTAAAAATTGATCAGCTTCTCTCATTACTGACTGTGTGAGCTGTATTAATATAGAAAAATGTGAAAAGTAAATGCAATTTACTCCACAGCAAATGCAAAATTCTATATTTAATCAGAAATAATCCACTGTACAGATACAGGGTACAGAGTGAACGGCAGTTCAGCAGAAAAGGATCCATAGATTAAAAGTTGAACATGACCCAGGAGTGCCATGCTGTTTCCGCCTTGACAGTGTATATGACAGCAGCTAATGAACTTAAATTGTAGCAAGGGAGGCTCAGGATAAGCTTTAATAAAAACCTTCTCCTGGTAAAGCTAGTGATAGTCTGCCTTGGAGAGAATCCAGCACCGCAGCAATGGAAGCCTCTGAGGCCACTTTATACAGCCATTGTTGGGGACAATATGAGCGTAGTCGGTTCTGCCCCAGCACAGGGAGGGATTTTTAATGATGTGCATCCTGCCATTCACTCTTTCTCTTGTGGTCAGTAAATAAAGTTTCCTTGTTTGCACTTTCAGGGCTCTTCACCTACCCCTTTCAATCAATACTGAAATGTCAGCTCTGCTAACCCGTCAACCAATACTGCCAGGCTCCACTGCCCATAGGTTGCTTAGTTTTAGTTTACAATATGGCCCTGCTAGCACTAGCGCAATGAAGTGACATTTAGGATTCACTGAAACCCATCTCAAGGAATAATACAGCCTGGACTTGCATTTGCAGTATCAAAACATTTTGACAAGCTATTTCAATTTTACAAACTTTAACTGTAAAGGTAGACAGTTCTCATATCAGATTCCACCTTTAACAACAACAACAACAAGAAACAAACAAACAAAAAAAACAAAAACAAAAAAAACCCAGGCCAAAATGAGCTGATTAATTTCTAAAACTGAAGCTAGAAGAAAAGACATTGATCACTAAAAATAAAGACAGAAGCACTTTCAGAGATCTATAGCCACAAGGGCTCCTAGCCTGCCAGGAGTCATCTTCCTGGGAAGAGACCTGTTTGTCATCCCTGTGAAAATCATACCAAATCAAGTAAAAATATTGATTCTTAGATGGAAGAAAGCAGTCTGTATGCAGTACAGCCATGCTGGAGCTTTCAGCAGCCAGATCCCTTTCTCACAGAGATGCTTAAACCCTCTGCAGTTGCCTGTGACAGGGTTTCAGAAGAGACCTCGTCACAGAGCAACAGAAGCCACTTCACTGCCTGTGGGTGGCTGTGGGACAAGGGTGCTGGATGTCAAGGAAGCTGCTTGCTCACAGTGCTAATGAGCTTGTTGGTGCACTCCCAGCAGCAGGAAAGGAACAAGTGACAAAAACTGTGCCAGACCACAGGACCAGAATCAGACTGGGGAAATGGGGTTGTGGCTGGACATTAATGGTGAACAGAGAAATATCTGACTGGAGACTGGGAGTCGAGAAATGGAGGAAAACACTGAGGGGAGAGAAGAAAGCAACTACCAGTGTTTCTGTCAGTCACTTCCCAATGCGGGAATGCGTGGAGGAGCAAGGAGGTCACTGACCAAAAGAAAGCATTGAGGGAGTAGAGGAGACAGAGACTGTCTGTACCAGGAGACACAGCAGGAACCAGTGTGTGTGTGAAGGGGAAACAGCTTTGACAAGGAACTGGGAAAGAGCTGGGACCTGCTGGGCAAGGGGGCTAGAGCAAAGTGTAAAAAAGGGAGGAAGAGGCAGATGCCTCAGGATGGTACTTGGGATATTTTGTTCCCTTAAAAAAAAAAAAGTCTGTCAAAATTAAAAACATTAAAAGAAATTTGAGTTTACCAAATTAAGCATTCAAGGGCCAGGAAATGTTTGACCTAAGACTGTCCCTGGAATCTCAGTATGGCCTCCTTCAGTGTATGAGTTATAATACAGTCTTGTATGACTAAGCTTTGAATTTCCAACATTGCAACTTAACCACTTCTGACTTAGCTTTGTGTCACTCTGCCTTACGTGGGAGAGAAACACACTTACATAAACCAAACAGTACCCTCAAGAAACTAAATCATCCATTCTGCATATTAAATAAAACCAACAGTTTTGATAATACACATCCTGCCTTGAATTTTACAGAAAGAAATCTTTGAAACAACATATAATTAAAGTGAAAAATTTGCTGCAGTGAGATTATATAGAGACAAATTAGTCTAATAATCATATATAGTCATAACTGAAAAGATTAGAAGAAATTCTAAAGTAAGACCAATTAGGAAGAATATTGTTGTCAGCACAAATGTAGGAAGGAACATTCCCCTTTCCTTGTAGCACAGTAGGATGCCTGACAAACAGTAGACACCACCCTTGGTCACTGGAAAGAGGGTACTCATCATCGAAGAGTAAGGCAGGGCTTTGGGTCCATCAGGAAGGCAGAACTAGGGATTCAAAAAAATCGTACTCGGTCAGCTCAGGGCACATAGAGAATAGCTGGAAACACAGATCCCCTGGGTTGGACAATGCAAGAACAGTTGGTTTTGTTTTTTTTTTCCAAAGGGAATTTGAAGCTTGAAGGCAAAACAGGACCATCTGAAGAGCATGCCAGCTTATCTTGGTTACTCTGGTGTTTCAGCTGTTTTTTTCTTTGAGTTTTCAGTAGTTGCTGTTCATTGCCAAGCCTGTTATTTCACACATGACTGAAAGTAAATTCCTGAGTATCTTTCCCAGCCTACTGGGCTAGATGAGGGACCTGCCCCCTCTTTCC